TCATTCTTCTATTGGCACGTGCGCTCCCATCTTGTGTATGATCGATCAACACAGAGAAGCGGAACAAAGCATGACCGTCTTACAAACCATATAATGCACATATGAGAGGTGTCGGAAATAACGCATGAAACTCAAGCTCAAAAAAATGAAAGAGAAAAAGAGGAGTGGAAAAACTTTAGTCACGTGTTGTTTTTCCTCTCTTTTCTGTCACGTGACTTTATTGTATATTTGTGTGTAAATTTTCATACAATATTTGTAAATATGTTGGGACATCTCTTTCACGGTCGCAAATGTCGTTATTTATTGTTGAAAAAAAAAAAAGTTCGAAAGATAATAAAATTTTTCGTATCTCTCGCCGGATTTTTTGTGCGAATTTTTTCGATATTCTTTCGTCTTGCTGCCAGAAATGGGATTAAAAACGTCACGTCCCCGAGAGCGCGTATTCATTTATTAAAAGGCCGCGCGAGCGAATCGATGCCAGAAAATCTCGAAGGTTGAATGCGCGGCTATTTTGCGAAAACGCCGTCTTTAGAAGTCGTGCATCATTTATGGTCCGAGACGCGAGGAGAAGGCCGGCCTGTTTTGGCCGTTTCCGCACGGGCCAGTGACAAATATTAATCGCCGTTTCTGTGCCGGATCGCGGTTGCGTCACTTGATGCAACCGACAAAGAGAAAGAGAGAGAGAGAGAGAAAGAAAAAAAAAAGGAAAGACGTAACTCTTTGCGAGAGACGCGTAATTAAATTGTCCCGCGGCGTTCCGAGAGGGAGTTTAACTCCCGAGATGTAATTTTTCAGCGCTTCCCTCGCGAGAGCTCGCCGAGAGCTTTTAAACGGCTTCGAACTTTCTTTCCGGTTTGTTAATATTCTGGAGATAAAAGTCCGGCTTGCGCGAGAGTATTTATTGGCTTCAACAATCCGCTCGTCATTTATTTATTTATTTTCTACATTCAGTGTGTTGCACCGTTGCGCTTTATTGTTTTCTATATGCACATTTTTTGTTTTATGACTCCGAGCTGTTGATTGACTTCACAAGACGATGTGTGTTTCTTTCTCACATCTCATCCCTCATCCCGTGGCGAGGGATTTTATTTGCAGAACGGGATAAATTTATCTCGCTATCTTTGCAACACGTCTATATCCATCCGCCGCGCGCTATTGTTGTTGTATTTTGTGCGAGCAAATTTCTCTGCCGATACGTGTAACGTTTGGGAACACGCGCGAAAAAGGCTGTGAAAGTTTAGCGGGTTGCCCCAGTTTTCCGAAAGAACGGAGGCGGCGGTGTGTGTGGCGAGTTGGCGCGGGGGCGGCGGCGTTGAAAAGAGGGTTGCGACGGCGTTGCAGCGCGCGCCAGAGAGAGTCAGCTTATTTCTATCGATCCTGACGATGGTAGCTCGCAGTGGCCGCCTCGGCGGCGCGGCGCATGGCGATACGGCGCGACGGCCACCTATGTTCCGCGGTCTTTTAATCCGTCACGACGCCTTCAACCAACGTTGCTATCGGTCCGCGCGACGGAAACACGCGCCGAAAAAGTGCGAGCACCGGTTCGGAAGAACTTTCGCGCTCCTCTCTTTCTCTCTTGCGTCTTGCTTCCGGACTTCTCTCCGCACCGACGCCCTTTTTCGCGATCGATCGGCAACGGCGATCGACGGCGACCGCGCGTTCGCGTACTTCCGGTGAAGCGACGGTGATCGCCAATAGTCAGCGCGATCGTCATCGTGACGACTTCTCGCCGGCGACGGCGACTCGTCCTCCGGTTCCGCAACGGAACCGCAGCGACGTTACGTCATCGTTTCGCCTACGCTGCGGGAGAACAGGTGCGCGTTCGAGTCGGTCGTCTTCGACGATGGAGGCACAAGCGGGCGCGACTTCGCGCCGTACGTTGAGCGCGGGAGACGAAAAATGAGATCCGTCGGATGAAAAGAGAGTATCGCGGTGATGGTGCGGCGTTCGTTTTGACAAAATCGGGTGTAACATTCGACGACGGAAGTGCACACGAGCACTCGCTTGCTCTTCTTTCCCGTTTATCCATCAGAAATGGGGTGTGCGGTGCCCCGGTTCAAAAACAACATGACGGACACCGTATGTATTTTATCGCACGACGCGAAGTGATGAAAACCGATGAGAACGGGTTTTTAATCGACGCGCCGCGGTTTTGGAATTTTTGTGATCGTTGCGTGATCCCTCGCAAAGTAATAAACGAAACGGCAAAGCGGATAAAGGAGGTCACACGCTTTCCCGCAAAGGTGGGTTTATCCTCTATTTATAAACAGTTTCTTCCCATATTGTGTCACGTACGACCTTTAACGATGACAAAGTGTTCAGTGACTTGCTTCGCAAACGAGTCGCTCGCGTGCGTTACACCGAATGGCGTTGCTGCCAACATATGCGCCGGATGAAAATCGTAAATTTCGCGGAATCGTTTTTGTACAAAGATTGCGTATCATCGAAACAACAATAGAACGTGTCAAATACGTATATATGTGTATTGCAGCTTCTTTCCTCGCTTGCTCGCAACGTATTGCGCAACATGGAAATGTGGTGGTGCGTATCGTGATACACCGGAAAATTCATTTCCTGCGACGACGTCTGTGTGTTTCGCGAAAGAGGGTCGACGGAAACTTGGCGGAGTCTCTCGGATCAGGAGAGTAAAAGAGAGAGAAAGAGAGAGAGAGAGAGTGCGCGGATATAATAATGCAATCGGAGCTGCAGTGCGCGATGCGCTCGACGTCAGCGCGCGTATCCGACTGGCGGAAACAGATGCTGCGGACGTCTACGCACATCCGGCGCGCACTCCACCGCGCGCGGAGACACGTAAATCCCTCGTTTAGCGCGAGCCAATCGTCGCGATGAGAAATTTCCGAGGCGCGATAACGAATGGGGTCGATCTGACGGCTCTCTCTATGTCAATTGTGTTTGATCGATGAAATTATAAATTATTATTATTATTACTATCAAGCAGAGCATATGTGATAAGGAAGACAATACACGTTTTCAGTTTATCGCCTGGACAATTGTTCGAAAGCCTGGAATTGTCCGGAAATTCAAGGATTCTGTTTGTGGAAAGTTCCCTCCCTAGTGTTATGGGGAGGCATCGAGGGAACTTTCCACAAACAGAATTCACACCTATATATCGGATACGTGTATAAGCGCCGACGTATAATGCACGAGCATCCTGACGCTCGATGCGTAAGCGCGCCTCACACTCTCTCTCGGAGGAGGAAGGACGTGTTTCATTGATCGACGTGCTTTTGCGTCACACACTCGCGCTATGCGAGTTCACACGCCGCCCCGCTATGTAGTTACGCTATTATTAATCTTATTGTGTAATTCGACTTTTCTGCGTGTCAATTCACACGTTTAAAACTATATTTCGCACGTGCGTCCAGCGTTTTTGCTCTCGAAGTCTTTATCTCGTTTAGTTTGTACTTTAATTTAGTTACGAATAATTTGGTTTTGCAATTCACGCAGACGAAAAATTCAGATTCGACTTCATCGCTTGAGATTCTCAATTCTCGTTTAATTTATACTTAGAATTTTTTGCGAATATTTGTTGTTATCGTATTCAGAAAAAAAAAATCATGTTTATTTATTCTTATTGTGTCGCAGAAAAAATTGTTGAATGCACATCTGCGGTGGCGTGTTACGTGCGGAAACAATATCGACGCACTCGCACGTGACGAGTTTTTTTTTTTTTTGTTTTTTGTTGCCGCGGAAGCAACGCTGACTGACGCGAGAACATTTGCCATTTGTAAATTACTACGTGTAGGAAGGAAGATTTCCGCCACACTCGGGAGAGCTCCGAATCACAGAGAGCTTTTTCCCCGAGATCGAATCAACAACCGCGCGTTGAAACACACGTCGTCACTTTACGTTCGATATTCCCCGACGTTACTTAACGTCGACGAATTTTCATGTAATATATCTCTTTCTCGCCGATTGTGATCAAGATGGATTTATGCGCGTGGTCTGACACGTCTGACGTATACTTTAAGACAGCGATGTCACATCCAAGAAGTGTCATCATCTTCCTTCTCTCGCCATTATGCGTCTCGTTACGGCACAGAGTGCGCTCGAGAAGACCCGCGAAGACAGCCGCATAGAGACGGTTCAAATTTCTCGACGGATATTCTCTAATTAACGTGATAATTGCGCGTTGCCCCGAGAACGCGTCGCGCGCTAGAATCTGCATCTCGATTCGCATTGCAGATTGCCTCGCGTTAAAACGCGGACTTACGTATTACATGAATATTTATAAATACGTACTTGTGCGTACTTTTGCCCAGAGGATTGTAATTTTTATTTTTATTTAATAACGTACTAAGTCGTCGTTTGCGACGTAGACGCATGTACGCGAGACATCGCGTCGATGCTCACAAAACATCAAACAAACATGAAATACAGAAGTATTTTGCAGAAACTAAATTACGCGAGTCGGATATAAGCTTTTAAAAAAGTCATTAAACAAAAACGTCACATATAACTTCTCTATAACAACTCAATATTAAACGCAATATATTTGAGTGTACGTTTTCACGTTGTACGTTAATATATGATATAATACTTGTTGATAGAACCGAAAAAATAAATAAAAGTTTATTAAAAATTATTGATCTAATAAGTTGTAGCGGCTCCGAAATTTCAAAATATAAAATAATAAAATAGACCAATGGGAGCGCAAACGCGGTTGACTACGTGTTGCAAATTCTTGATTATGTGTGATGACGTAACATACATTACTGCGGTCTTTATCAATGTTAATTAGTAGTAACTAATTTTAGAAGTATCTACTATCATAATTTCAATGTTAAACAGTCCCGATAATAGTCAAAGGCAATTTGACTATGTGTGTCAAGAACATATTGAATTATTAAATAATCAAGATCAAACATTCTGACGATACACCAGGCACAACCTTAATTGTGCAAGGACATAGGTATAGGATTTATTTTATTAAAATTATCGTCAATATTAAATGTTGGATTCGCGCGTTTGCTTTGCAGGGAGATACGCACCGTCGTACTGAATAAAGGATCTTCCGGCCTGGGTTTCAACATCGTCGGCGGCGAGGATGGCGAGGGCATTTTCATCTCGTTTATTCTAGCCGGGGGTCCGGCCGATCTCAGCGGCGAATTGCGCAGAGGCGATCAGATACTGAGCGTTAATGGCATTAATCTCCGAACGGCCACTCATGAGGAGGCTGCCGCTGCCCTCAAGGTAAGGGTTTTCGATTTTACATTACAGATCTCTGGTCTTTTCCACCTGTGTGTATCAAAACCTAGAAGAGATTCGGCGATTTCCCTCGCGATAACGCTCGCGATTTGTTTCTCTGACGCTCACAGGGTACCGGACAGACAGTGACGATCGTGGTGCAATACAAACCGGAAGATTACAACAGATTCGAGGCCAAGATCCAGGATCTTAAGCAACAGATATCTCAGCAACAGAATGTGATGACAGGCACCCTCATGAGGACCTCTCAGAAAAAGTCACTCTACGTGAGGTAATTCGTCGCGATATTTGTTTTTTAAGTTAAATTCTAACTCGTTGTTTAAATTTGTCTTCAATTTAATATTCGGTCGACGGAAACTTTTTCCCGCGTTTTCGCACTTCCGCTCTGAACTGTACGAGCGTGTAACGTCACGATTTTCTTCCCCCGAAGAGCGTTGTTTGATTACGACCCTAACAAGGACGACGGTCTACCGAGCCGCGGCCTGGCTTTCCGTTACGGCGAGATCCTACACGTGACAAACGCCAGCGACGACGAGTGGTGGCAGGCGAGAAGGATCACCCCCCAGGGCGAGGAGGAGGGTCTAGGCATAATACCGTCGCGCAGACGATGGGAGCGCAAGCAGCGTGCCAGAGATCGCTCCGTCAAATTCCAGGGACACATGCCGGTCATTCTCGATAAGGTGAATCTAACAGGAATTCCCCGAGGAACTCGCGTTTTTTTTTTTTTTTCTATCCGAAAATAGCGATATAAGTTGGAAAACAATTCCTTTTACATCGGACAGTTTTTATCGCTCGAGGAATTGGAAAACAATTTTTTTACGAGGCGTCTCTTTGCTTTTAAAATACGGTTTTCGTGTATCGGGCGACTTGTAACCGAAAAAACATGTCCTCCGGCCGATGCTTGTCCGGTTCTCATTAACGCTAATGAGAAGAGCCAAATTGAATATTCATCGCGATCGATAGCCGCGTTTACGCCCGCGAATTTGATACGGTGGAGAGTCGTTTTAAATGCGCGTAAGCTCGAGATTTTTCGGTAAGGAAACTGTTACTCTCTCGTGTTCGCCGATTACCGATTTCCGACGTAGCCACGACGTAGCGAACTTATTGGTTTTCAGCAATCCACATTGGACCGTAAGAAGAAGAACTTCTCGTTCAGCAGAAAGTTTCCGTTTATGAAGAGCAAGGACGACAAGTCCGAGGATGGCTCCGATCAGGAACGTGAGTGTCTGATAATTGATTTCCGTCCCCTCTCCCGCACGTTCTGTGCATGTTCTGGCCCATATTTAATGTGTTTTTTTACGTGTTTTCTCTCGCCGTATGTATTCCGCCTATATATATATATAATAATATATATATTTCTATCGTATATATGCGACTTGACCGCTGATAAATACACAAGGGTGTATTTCTCATTCCCCAAGCCTCGAACCACCGTGTCTTTGTGTGTGTTCAGTATTTTGATCAGTTACCACGTCTTGCGACAAAAATTCAATATTGCAGATTGTTGAGACACCTTAGATCGAAAAATATCTCTCGTAATAATCAAGTCACTTTATGTTTCTTTCTCCCACGCATATCTCACGTAATAATAAATAATAATAATATTCTTCAGTTACTTAATGCAACGTAATTGATTTTATTTTTTCGCGCGCGAATGCATTTTTTTAACAGCTTGAAACACGCACGATAACAAAGAAATCCGACGAAAGTAAGTGTGTATATTCGTGCGAGAAGACTGACAATCTAATCTCTTTATTGAAGTAACGTGTATGAGATTATGCCATATTTAAGATAACGGAGTTTTCGACGCGCGAGGCCCGATCACAGACGCGCCCGCCCACCAAGTCCCGAATGAGCTTTTGTGTTCTTTATCATGTGAAAACGTGACATGTGTTTTGTTTTGCCTGCTTGTGTAGGAACGCCCACCACACCCGAGAATGAGAACGATCCCACCCGTAAGTATCTTAATTAGACAATTAATAAGCTCGGTTAAATGCGCTTTCGTCGTTTCTCATTGCGCGCGGTGACCCGCAAGCTTCATCAACAGTCACGCTCGAGACGTTGTTAAATTACATTAATTGTGAATTTATATTATTTATTTAAGTAATATAAATAATGTAAAAAACTCCTCATATATATACTATGATAAATATAAATTAAAGAATATAAATTATAAAAATATGAAGATATAAATATACAGGGTGTCCCAGAATTGCCGTACAATCTCTCGTAGACAGGTAGAAGGAGTAAAACTGAGTCGAAAAGTCCTGAACCATTTTTTTCTATTATTTATAATAAAGGAGTAATTATTGAGTAAATCAGGCCAATCAGCGCAGTCCTTTAGCCAGGCACACGTCAGTGAGCACTCACACACACCAGGCGCGCGGCTCACTGACGTGCGCCTGGCTAAAGGTCTGCGCTGATTGGCCTGATTTACTCAATAATTACTCCTTTATTATAAATAATAGAAAAAAATGGTTCAGGACTTTTCGACTCAGTTTTACTCTTTCTACCTGCCTACGAGAGATTGTACGGCAATTCTGGGACACCCTGTATATACACATATATATATTTATATAATATAAATAATATAAATATAAGTTCAGACAAATAATACATTATATATTATATATTATATATATTATAATCATTAATATATATGATAATATATAATAATATATGTATATATAATAATAGGGAAGGCAATTCGAGGCAATAACCAGATCTTCGTGTCAATAAACTTCTTTATTTTAAAAAACTTTACAAACGTTTTGACCCTAATTTGGGCCTTCTTCAGTGTACTACATATAATAATTACAAATAATAATTACATATCATATTAAACAATCGCAAAAGGGGTTGATAACGCGTACCCCAAATTACAAGGTTTGACACTTACAGGAAGGCTCGTAGGTATAATATATATATACATATATATGTATAATAATTATATATTATATATATTATATATATTATTTATATAATTTATACAACAAAATTGAACGCGCAAATATTTTCTAATCTTTTGCACCCGTAACGAATATCAAGCGTCACTGTGTCACGCGTTTAAAAAACTAAAGAGATCCGCGTTGCTTATCGTTAACGAAGCATTTATTCCGTAATTGCTTGAATTCAACTCGCGTTTCGGCCAAGATTGCGTCTCGCGGTGTTGCGGTGTTTGTGATGTAGCTCGCGGGCAAACCACCCGCGCATCATTCAAGCCGCGCTTCAAACACGAGAACAAGCAACGCTTCACCCTCGCTCTCTTCCAGCTTCCACCCGCTTGCGCGCATGCACGTTGCCTTATGAACTTTTCACTGCCACGCACGAAGTCTCTGGTGTAATACTAACATCTCCGAGACACGCTCTTTATCTACGCTCTCGACTCCGCTTCTAACTTTTAGCTCTTCGCCGTTGAAGGTTTCATGAGTAGTTCGTAGAGTAGCGGTCCAGCACGATGTAGGACAATGTTCCTCAGATAGTAGCTTTACATTTTTCTCTCTCTCTCTCTCTCTCTCTCTTTCTCTCTCAACTCTCTTTCTCTTCTATTTCTTTCTCTCACGAAAGGGACAGTAGAAGCGACAGAGAAACGTTCATCCCTCACGGATCGTGTCATGAAGCACGTCATCGTCATTCTCTTCATCGGGGACGCATTTCTCGACAACATCTCGGCACATCGACGAGAAATTGTGTTTTTTCACACATGTTTTTTCATATATGTTAGAGATGTGCATGTATATGTGCGTCGCATTCTCGGTGTTAGATCGGAAAGTCTCTTCGCGAGCGAACTGGGAAGTGTCGCGCTTTTCGTGATAACAAGCCTACGGCGAAAAATTGGTCGCGTAGCCTGACAGATATTTTTTTTTTTTTTTTACAAGCGCTTTTTGTCGCGCATGAAGCCTCTAGCGAGAGTTCCGGTGTAATAAAATACTTAAAAAAAAAAAAAATAAACAAAATTAAACGCCAACATGTCGAAAGTATTGTGCGCGCGACACCGCGTCAATCAAGCAGCTTCGAGAAAGGGAAAAGCTCGAAGTCGCGGGTGTCACACGCGCGTGATAAAACTCTTTTGCAGCAAAACTCACTCTCGCAAAAAAACGAACAAACTTCATCGTCCATCGAATCTCACCTTGTGCGCGTGTGCATCGAGATGTGTATCGCGCACGCACGTAGGAGAGTCCTCGAGAGTTTAGCGCTTTTAATTAATCCTATAGCGATAATTAACGGCCGCTTATATTTAGTACGCAACGTATACTGAAATATATTCAACTTGTTATGTTCTAGCATTCATGCTGTGCTACACCCAGGACGACACTAACACTGAAGGTAATCATGTCTCTCTCTCTCTCTTCTCTTCTCTTCTCTTCTCTTCTCTTTCTTCGCTCCCGCTCTCTTTGAGTCTTGCCATTACTGACCCTCTTCTCTCTCACTCCTGTGTAATCTTTCTCCTGCTCTTCCTCACACCAAAGATATATTGTATTGCCTGGGTCAGCCATGCGGGATAATGAAATTCGGTCACGGCATTGTACTTTTTCCCTTCTTTTTTTTTCACGATTACGCGCACGTTACGTGTAATTAATATTCATACAAGAATTTCTATCACATGTGTAGTGAGAAACTAAAGATGTAGCCATACACACAGTGTGCGGTGTGTTCACAAAAAATTTGTCACACCGAAGGGGAAATATTGATGTGAAAACATAATCGAGAAACATCCTGACCGAAAATCGCGCAGTGCCACGGTCCGTTGGTTCACCATGTCATCATTTTTATGAGTTGATCGATCACGCTTGCATCCATTTCGCCCGGGCAATAATTCAGGAATCGAGTGCATCGGCCTTTTATTATCGCCGCGAGCAGCATAGCATATTTATTCTTTTTTCTGGTTTATTTCTATTTTTTTTTTTTTTTTTTTTTTTTACTAGCAAGCGCACGTTGAAAAAATCAATCTTGGTTTGCTAATAAATGACGCGATTTGTTCTCGTTGAACAAATATATTTGACAAAAATGTAGTAAAATCCGAAAATTATGTCAATCGATTCTCCGGGAATTTGTTTTCCACTCGTAACATTGCGGAAAAATTGAAAAACAGCTTTTCCTGTTTTCCGCCGAATGATTTTTCACGGGAAATAGAAATTATTCGAGAGGATTAAATTGAAAAATTGACAGGATTTCAAGTCGACGTGTATTCGCCGATTGCTCGTGGCGACGTCCGCGAATCTCGGTGCGTTAATCCCCTTAAATTAATTAGATCTCATGTGATTTAGGATTTCTAACGATTCTTCCGCCGCGTCTCGAACATTCATCATTACTTCTTACTCATGTCACGTCTTTTGTTGTCCTGTTCTTATTTATTCAAGGTTTGTCTTGCGCCACAGGGAGTAGAGAAATTTTGTATCGCGTTCAACTGCCGTATATGGAGGAACTCACGTTAGTTTATCTGGAAAAGGAGGGCATTGATACCAATGACGAACTTAGTAAGTCGTAGCCGAGAGCAGATGTGTGAAAAAAAAAACCGGAGTGTGAAACACGCGGCGCGTGCATAAAGATTTTATTTTTTTTTTCCTCGTAGGAAAACTAACGCAGATCGCGCACGATCGCATGACCTCGTCGACGAGCAATTCTCTCCCCGATATTCGGGCGAATAATAACCCGATAACTCACGGGTGTGTCAGCTAACGATCTCTCAATTTGTTGTGTTAAACTCTCCGATCTCTCCCATTAACGCTTGTGGCATCATCGCGCGAACTGAAGTCGCGAACTTTGTTTTATAATTGCGCAAAAAATCGCTGAAATAAAAAAGCCTCGCTATTGCACGGCTAGAAAGATTTGTTGTGGATCCATTGAATTTTTTGTTTTGTCGACAAAACGTTTTGTTGGCAAAACCTCAATGACAAATTTTTTTTCCGCGACGGAACAGCTTGACAGATTCAGGCGATACAAGAAATTTTTTACCATCTTAGTTTCTTTTTTTTTTTTTTTTACCGAGTTCGCGGCGCGTTAAAACGCTGATCGATTGTATGTACTTCCGCATTTCGCGAGAGAAGATCGTGAAATTGAAGGGAACGGAAATACAATTCTCCCGCGTTGAAAAGACACTAATCGAGTGTCCGCGTCTCTTTCTCGCAGCTATTAATTTTCCCAGGGCTCTTCTCTTCTCGCGTTAAATTGCCGACGAAAAAACGTGCGCCCCGCGCGCGTTGTTGTTGCTCGCCGCGAGAGAGATCGGCTACTCAATTATTGAGAGACGACCTGTTTTCTCGGGAAGTTTTTTTTTCACCGCCGTTCTCCTTTCGCGCGATCGTAGAGCCTTTCCGTAGAATCAGCGGCTGAGATGTAATTAGAGCGCAAATAGACGAAGAAATCGCGTCGTCGAGCGCGTCTCTTCCCTTATTCTTCCGCGCGAAAGCCGCGCGTATTCGACTGATCGCGATCGAGAAGAAAAAGATGAAAAAGCAACGACGCCACTTCGCGCGCGTTAATAGCAAGCTCGTAAAGTGACGTGCGGTACTGATTATAAACGAATAGAGGCCTCTTCTCTGCCTTACATCTAGTGTATATAGTCGCAACACGTACTAACGCCACTTGTGCACCCGATTACTTGTCTCTCCCCTTCCACCGGATCGCTTGAGTCATTAGGAGATCTTATCTCTGTCCGCTTTTTGATCTCATCCGAACGCGCTGAAAGCATGCTCGTGTTCGTCCATCGACGAGAGAAATGTGCACTTGTCCGGAACCGCAGCGGAGACCGCTCGAGACTGTTGTCGAAGAGAGGAAGGGGGTTTGACAATGAAGAATTTTCGTCCTGCCCAATCTGATTTGTCAAAGATCGTCCCGAGCGGTTTACCGACCGAAGAATTTTCGTTTCCCGCTTTGTGCAACATTGTCCCGCGTCCCGTGGCAGTGTCGATTAATCAGAGTGACATCGTGAAGGATCGCAGGCTTGTCTTTCGGCGGCGTGTGGTGTCGGCAGAATGACCGCTGGGGATTATCGCGTGTTTGGGATGAGAGTTTTGCTTTTCTTCCTCGCTGGGTTTTTTTTTTTTTGTTTTTTTGTTTTTTTTGTTTTTTTTGTTTTTTTTGGACTGAAAGCGCGCGTGATTGTGTTTCTTAACCCTCTCCTCCCTCTTCTCCTCGACGAAGAGTCCTCGTTTCTTCCGGGGACTCGTCGCGCGGGGAGTCGTAACGCACACGTTTGATTGGCGGATTGCAGGTAGCGAAGAGAACGTGCTCTCGTACGAGGCCGTGCAGCAGCTGACGATACAGTACACGCGTCCCGTGATCGTTCTCGGACCGCTCAAGGATCGCATCAACGATGATCTCATCTCCGAGTTCCCCGACAAATTCGGCAGCTGCGTTCCACGTGAGTCGATGAACCTTACCATCTCCTTTTTCGTTGATGAGTCGCGAGATCCCAGATTTGTTCGATTATCGATCGTCGCGCGTTTGTGTCCGCAGATACCACAAGGAGTAGAAGGGAATACGAGGTGGACGGGCGAGATTATCACTTCGTCGCATCGAGAGAACAGATGGAGAGAGACATACAGAATCACTTGTTCATAGAAGCCGGACAGTATAATGACAATCTTTACGGGACATCCGTCGCGTCCGTACGAGAAGTAGCTGAAAAGGTACGCGCGTGATATTCTAATCGATAGTTAAATTAGTACAGAAATCCCGTCTCTATTATTGTTTAATTTACCGATTTGTTTTGGCAAAGAAAATATTAGCGAGGAAATTAAATTAACGAAATACTCGATATCTTTTTATTTTTTTATTTTTTTTTATTTTAAGGGCAAGCACTGTATTCTTGATGTGAGCGGAAATGCGATCAAGAGGTTACAAGTAGCTCAACTCTATCCCATTGCCGTGTTTATCAAACCAAAATCAGTCGAATCCGTCATGTAAGTTTGCCAAATAGTCGAATTTTATACAATAACTTTTTTCTTGCTGATTGTTCATTTTTGGAAACAAAATGTCTACCAACACTTCGCAGGGAAATGAACAAGAGAATGACCGAGGAACAAGCGAAGAAGACGTACGAACGCGCTCTGAAGATGGAGCAAGAATTCGGTGAATACTTTACCGGTGAGTTTTCTCTCAATCGGGTTTTCCGATTTTGAGAAACTGTAAAACCCCGAAAAAGAAAGAATTTTTTGTTTGCTCGCAGCTGTCGTTCAAGGAGACACTCCCGAAGAGATTTACGCGAAAGTAAAGGAAGTCATCGCCGAGCAGTCGGGACCGAACATCTGGGTGCCCTGTAGGGACCAGCAACTGTGACGTCCTGCCCCCCACGCTCAGCACGGACCCAACGCGTGGACCTTACCGCCGAGGCGTCAAGCTTAATTATTCATGATAAATGCGATTAAGCAAACGCTCTAACGCCTTTTTCCTATCCCTCTCTTTCTATCTCTCTCTCTCTCTCTATCTCTATCTCTATCTCTATCTCTCTTTCTCTCCTCTCCCACGCTCTCACTCTCATATCCCATCAATTATCCACGTAGCACAAGATCCCCTACTTAAGTCGCGCACAACGCGATATACAAAGTGTCGCCGTAAAAAGGATTTGAGCCGAGAGAGAATTACTTAAACGGCGGGGGCCACACATGATATATATATATATTGTCCGGACCGCCTTTCCGCGAGGAGAAAAACGATCAGTCGGTCGGAATACGCGTGATCTTATTCTCCCCTGAATTCGAAGTCTGAGAAAAATAAAAAGAAAATAATAATTGACAGAAACGAGAAGGAGGGCGGGGGGAACCGGGCGCTTCAAGCACTTCGTGTGCTCGTCTTGTTGACTTTTTTGACGACCGGCGTTTCCGGTGAAAGACGAAAAAAAATAAATAAATAAAAGAGAAATCAACTTTTATCGCATGATTGTCGATTATTCGTGTGTGTGATCGTCCCTAATTTTATTAATTAACTACGCGAACTAGAGGTGTGTTAAAATGTAAAATTCGCTCGAGAAAAGTCGACGACGACTCTCGAAATCGGGGGGAGGGGAGATTCACAAATTCGGAGCTTTTTCGAGCATTGTGCGTGTGTATTCTCAACCGCGAACCCGTGTGGCGCCTGTTGTTCGATCGTACTCGAGCGCGGTATTTTTTAAATGTACTTAAGCCGCGGTTTTAGCGTGCCGATGTGACAAAGAAGGAGAAAAACAAACAAACAAACAAACAAACCAACAACGGCTAAGAGAGAAACAATCATAGCCCCACCACCAATATTGTGTATGTTTAAACGAACCTCACGATTGAAAGAAAACACTTTGCGTAAAAACAAAAAGAGATAAAATAAACTTTACAGGACAAATCTGTAGATGCTAGTTACACATAGCGATATATAATGTTTTGTACAGCTAGATGACTAAGCCACACAGTAAACCTGGGTTACGTGCAACATTATATTTGCGAGACGAGGGCGAGTAAACAGAAAAAAAAAGAAAAAAACACGAGCAAAAAAAAGCGAGAAAATGGCAAAAAACACTATTGTAATTTAAATATCACTACTAAATTATTATTATATATATTGCGATATAGTAGATATGTATTATTGTAAATACATATACTCATGCGTGTATCCGAGACGGAAGGGAGAGATAGACGCAGCGAGCAGAAAGTAAACGGAGAAGAGACAAACACATGTAGCACGCGCGTGCACGCGTGACCTTTCAACAAAATATTCTCCTCGGATAGTCATTGAACGTTTCGAATGTATTCGCGAAATATTCATTAGATATCCATCGTTGACCTCTGCGCGATGACACGTCGCGCGGGGGTGAGGGAATGATGAATTCTCACGATCGCGTTCTCGTAGAAAGCTTTCAGCGCGCGAGCGAGGTAAAGGTCGATCTCTGCTCCTTCGATCGAACGTGGGACGAGCTCCCGCACGACTTTTCGGGAGGAAATCGATGTGTCGTAACTGGTTAAGAGAAAGAGAGATTGCCCGCTTGACAATGTACTTACGATATGTCGCGGAAAAACGTGTTTTGAGAGGCACAAAAATACTATAGATGTACTCTGAAATATTGAATCTATCCGTGGGAAGGAAATATTTGCGCAGGAAACTCGCGTCCCGAGAGAGAGCAGCTCTTGAAAGAAAAAAAAAAACCAAACTCACTTGGCCTTCCCTCATTCCTCGGATTCGCAATCATCGGCTTGTCCCTTTCGTTTCTCTGTAAAGGTTTGTATCGCGCGACGCGAGGACTGTGCGAGCAGGATAGTTGCAAAGCGGAGGTGTCGGCAATTTATAATTGTTGTAATATAAATAATAATTGTATTGGTCGCGACAGAGAGATAAATGTGCGCGAGTCGCGATCGCGGCGACGACGACGACGACGAGTAACGCGCGGATTATCAGGCCCCCGAACGCGTTCGTCGCGCGGAAACGGAAACGGTTTTTCCTTTTATTCCTTTTTATTTTCGTAGTTAACCACTCGCGGAGAAACGAAACAAAATCTCTCGCGCGCTTTTCGAGCTATAATGTTTTTCTTTCCTCTTTCTTTTCTACCGCGAGTCTTAGAGAGTATTATAACTAAGCGCGTTGTCACACACGCGAGATAGAGAAAAAAAATAAATAAATAAACAAAGGTAACGAAGCGATATATGTGTTGAGAGCTTCGGCTTGTGCCTGAGGGACATAAAGGGCCTGGCTTCGACGAGTTGACAAGATCTGTCTCGAGATATGTAAAAGACCGTATATAAAAAAAAAAAAGAGAATAATTATACCGCAGACACCTATTGTACACCTCTATAGTCTATTTAATAATATTACTTATTGAATTGTCAATCTCATGTTCACCTTGTTTCATCGTTTTTAAATAGTTAATAAACGTTTTACCAATTTTACTACCGTCGTTTTCGGTTTTTAGAAAAACCCCCGACGCTCTCAATTGTTAGGCTATAAAAGAAACATCGTTTTTAAATAGTTAATAAACGTTCTATCATCTTTATCTTTGTTTTTTTCTAGTTTCATCGCCCTTTATTCTCTTCCTCTCACTCCCGCCAGTCGACGTTTCTCAACTGTTATAACTATAAAGAAAAATATGTTCAAAGATGATTAATTATTCCACGCTCAAATATCGCTAATTGGACAAGAGAGTCGCTTACTTGTACGCTGACACGATTGTCCAAAATTTTCTTTTGAAATTTGTTTCTTTTTGCATAAAAAAACCATGGCGCACGTTGCGTGTTTCTTCCATAGAGTTCGTGCGCCGACTGGCCGCGCAGCGCTGCGGAGTGGGGAGTTAAGCGCGCGAAGTTGCTCCTTTTCCCAGTCGAAAAGTATCGAGTGTTATATCGACACGCAACTTCGCGCGTGTGACATCGTCCCGGCCGTACTACTTCCAAAAAACATAAATAGAAGTTTCAACGGCCTGTTGTTTACGAGGTAAGTGCGATGAGACGAAAACGAAAATTGCTAAATGAAGTAAATTCGAGCGCTGGTTTTGCATACTCGACATATTCGCGCGCGAATACTTTTAACCTCACTTAAGATTAAACGGGGTTGGAGAAGAATAAGAATTCCGGTAAAAATACTTGCTTTTTATTACATCGATCAGATAGATAACTCATTATTGTGTTATTAGCGAAAAAAATCACAAATAGTTTCTTCATTTAATTATTATAGAAAGTCATTCATTTGTCGGGTCCATCGAGTGACTCGCTTGTTTTTTTTTTTATTTTTTTATTTTTTTATTTTTTTTTAACGACTACTACGGGCGATGACGTAATAACGATTAGTTATTCCTCCTCACGAATCACAGTAAAACTCTAATTTGTTCGATCAGCGTCAACGTTTATTTCGAACTAAATCTCTGAAATAAAATATATTTGTATATATATATTTATATATTTATATATATTTGCTCATATCTTTTTATTTTATATATATATATTTATTTATATATTTATATATATAACTTTTCTCTCTCTCTCTCTCTCTCTCTCTTTCTCACTCGCTTTCTCGTTCTCTCTCGCTCGCTCTTTCTCTCTCGCTCTCTTGCGTTTTATCCGCATTTTAAAGCAGCAGCGTTTTATTTTTTTTTTTTTTATTAATTTTGTTTTAACACACTTAGAAAGAGATTTTCTGCATACGTATAAATTACAAGAGAAAAAAGAGGGAATATTGTTCGAATGTTACACGACGACTCAGAAAAATGTACATCCATCATTAACTACTATGTATATATGATACAATATATAATTAAAAAAGCGAGTAAAGTCGTACACATGATAGTGCTAATAGTAGCGGTTGCGATAGTCCATATTATCTATTTTAGTTTATAAATGAGATATATAGTATCGTTTACCGTGTGTGTGTGTTTGTGTGTATGTTATACAACGTGACTTTGAGGTCGGCAAATGAGGCATGTTTAACTGCTATAAATCGATCTCTCTTATTTGAATAATTAATCCATCCATCATTACGTACTAAAAGCTATACAAAAAACAAACCGAATAGAACTTCTCCGTATAAATTAAAAATTCCACATTATCATATATATGTTTGTATATATATATATATATATATGCTTTACATATATATATATATGCTTTACATTATACACAGATTAGGTAGATGTGATAATAATATGAACAAGTATCTCGCGCGATTTTCTACTTACATTTTTTTATTTTATATATATATATATATACGTGTCAACTATTTGAGAGTAAAAGATTTTTTATACGTACAATACGCGTTCACAATATTTCCCATGTCGCTTCTTAGAGAGAAAAGTAACGCTTTTTTCTTTTTCTTCACACGTATCTCCCTTTCTATAACTTCTCTCTATTCCGTTTTTATAATTACCGGTTTCATTTCTCTTAATGAAAATATGTCGCTATGTACAACTGCGGTGATTTTTTTGTTTTTTTTTGTTTTTTGTTTTTTTAAATAATCTGCGTCTCTGTTCTCTCGAGATGGTCAGTTAAATAAAAATTATAGGGAGCCGCGATTCCTCGGCGGCGTGTCGCGGCTCCCCATTTGTATATTAACATCATTAATTAATTAATTAATATCATTCGATGCGACGAGTGAGTGTGTGTATGTGTGTGTATATAGATAGTACTAGTATTGATCCTTACAACAAGCGACTTGTTCGTTTTTTTTTTCTGCTAGCTACTATACACATATATGCACTAGTATGTATGCGTGTCGGACACACGCGCGCGCGAACGCATACGCCGGGCCCTTATGTAGTCGGTACACCGTCAAGTATCTTCAAGAATACACGTGGATTTTTCCCTGAGACTGATTATAACGATTGAAACTCTCTATGTTGCACGGCACCAAAATAAACGCCTATTGGTGGCATCGTCAACGCTGCAAACCGAGTTCATCCGCGCTTCGTTTCTTCTTTTTTTTTTTTCTTTACACGTCTTCTTGTCGTTACGCGTGCTGAGATGCTGTTATCTGTTTCCGATATACAAAACGTCGCAGAACGACAAATACAACCGATCGCGAACTGTGGCGACGTTGTGTAAAATAGCTCCTTCTTTTTTTTCTTCCTAAAAGTCACGTTCCTAAATTGCTTCGAGTGTGAATGCGACGTCAACTCGGTGATCGAGAAAACTCGTCTCTCTTCGTTTGCAATTCTTTAACAATTCCATGATTCCAAGTAGTTTACAATTATTTTTTTTTTTGTCCAAACGACTACCTGCAATCACCGATTCGACGCACACATCGAATGGTAATCGTTAACATCGCACAAACAAAAACAAAGATAAAACACAGAAAGAAGACGGATGTGTTATTGCACAGTGTGTGAGTTGCATTGTCTCCGCGACAGTGTCCGGCGCGGGTGTAATTATCTCAAATAAATTTTCTACGCAGACGTAACGGTCATTACACCCGCTCTCTGTGTGCGCGCGGCTACAAACAATAATCAATGCACCTAGACGAAATTTGTTTTCAAACACAAAACAACATTTCGCAAACATTGCACTTCCCAGAATTACAAGACCTAGTTGCAAGAGAATTGAGCGACTTCGTGTAAATCCCATTTCTTTTGCTCTTTCAAAAAATTAACGTCATTAGAAGCTAAAAAAACTCTACGTGTAACGGATCTCGTCACGGATTGGAAGTCGAACTTTTTTGTACGTGTGTATATATATATATATATAATTGCCTTGTAATATAATTAACGTATATGTCACACACGTAACTGTATATACGTCATAATTATATTACGTGTAATTACAAATATATATGGTGTACGCTACTACTAAATTAGCAAACAAAACAAAACGGCACAGAATAATGCACCTTTGTTATTATATATGCAACAACTAGCGTCGACACACTTATCGTTCTCTTCTCGACGAATAATAATACTAAATTCTAATCTTCGCGTATTGAAACTCAACCGCGGTACCATCGTTCAAGCACCTGATTCTCTCCGATGTAGATCAATCTACAAATACATTTCGCAGATGACACGATGTGTACTGCACAATCGTTTCCGCAAACAAAAAAAAACAAACGTAAAACAAGAAATAAGATGTGGTAACATATGATCGTTCGATACGAGGATAATTACGATTTTTTTTTATACCGGTTTTTTATACCGCTCGTTAAATAACATTCTGGTAAACAGTTCGAAGAGAAAAATCAACACCGTTGTGTAATAACATGCGCGACACGTGTCCCCCGTCAAACTCACACGTCACGGAGCGAAAAACCTCTTGGAGGGGGAAAAAATACTTCGTTACTTTTTTTTCTTTTTGTTGCTTTTTAAAGACACGTGCGAGACAAAAATAGATCTAGTAGTACACAGCTACGTTTCTTCCGCGCGTGTTTCTAAAATAATTTATCATTATTTAATTATCATTATTTAATATTAACGACGTTTTTCTCGTTTATTATTACTATTTACCGAGGACTCGCGCGGTTCGTAACGCCGAAAGAGAAACTCGCTAGAGAAATTTTCCCCGTATTTTTTTGTAGCTGTTTAAATATTTCTTTCTTTTTTTTTTATCGATCTAAAAAAGCGTTAACTTCTCTCGATTGCTCGATCAAAAGAGTTAAGAACTTTTGATTGCTCGATCAGTCCTCGAGAGCATTACTAATAAAATATCATCTCGTTCTATTTATCCAAATAATATACACACACACGCATATCGACGTACGCGTGTATACGCACTCCGATTGAATACTGCTATGTGTTTCACAGGTAGCTGTTGTCCTTCCTTAGCTGCGCGTCAGATTGATAAGATAATGTATCGGATCGTTTCAGTTGCAATTTGTTTGTTTTTGTTTTTCACAGCTATCGTTAAATATCGCTACACAAGTATTATAAAGTTAACCACTTTTGTTACGTATTTCTTGTCGCTTTCTTCCTTGCTGCCGCTCGCGTTTCGCAGCATTGACGTTCGCGCTTCTGCCCTCGGCTTTCTTCGGATGCTCCCTGGCCGGAATCGAAGTCGATGGTTTCGATGAGGTCTGAGGAGATGATCGCCCCAGAGACGCTTCCTGTCACCTGACGCTAATCAGCACCTTTTCCACGCTCAGCAGCGACTTGACCTTGTCGTTGTACTTGATGAGCGTGATCTTGGAACCGCGCACGTTGATTCTCTCGCCGCCGTTCATCAGATGGCAGCAGCGCGTCTGCTCGAGAAAATCCGACAGTTTGAGCTCGCGCATTACGTCGCGATGCGCGATCGCGGACGGTCCGGAATGGACTTTCGGGTTGATCTGACGGAGAAGGGCCTCGCGGCTCTTTATCTTCAGAATCGTCATGAGCTCCTGCAGCAGTATCCACTTGTCGGGGTCGTTGTTAAGGGTGAAGAGTACGGGTAAGTTCGTCTCGCTCACTTCCATTTCGACGTCGTCCAACTCGGATTCGGGACTGTCTAGCGGAACGTCTTTGAGAGGATCGTAACCCGTCTCTTCTGGATCTGAAAACACAAGTTCACAAAACAAGTTATTAAAAATACGTATCCAAGAGGTAGTTGCAAATCGTTTAAAACTGCTCAATAAAATATAAGTGAATTTTACGCACCACAAATAGAAGTTGAACCAGCGAACGACCACGGCACAGTGGTGCGACCTTGAATATCATCCAGATGTTGTTCGAGGATAGAATTAGCGTCGGTGTCGACTGCTAGCATCAACGGCGTTTGTCCGGAATAAGTAGCTAACAAAGGATCGGCTCCGTAGGATAACAGCAATCGTACGAGTTCCGTAGCGCCGTTTTCCGCTGCTTCGTGAAGTGGTCTGGCGATAGTCAAAACAATAAATTTTAACATTCACTTGCTGATTTAATTAAGTATAAAATCATTAACAGCGTTATTGAGAAAGAATTGTTACCTGATACCGCCATTGGCGCTTTCGCTGGCGTTCGCTCCGTAAGCCAATAGAAGTTTGGCGATTTCGAGATGACCCTTGGCGCAGGCCTCGTGAAGCGGCGTGTATCCCGCGTTGTCTTTCGGACTCGGCGCGTTCTTGAGCTTCTCCAGACAGTAGGCTGTCACGTCCTGCGATACGAAACACAAGCGCACGTTAGATCATAAATTAGCTCCGTTATAATTTGGCCTTACCATGTAACCGAGACGGGCGGCGCGGTGTAATATAGTTTCTCCAACACCTTTCTTGATAACCCACGTTCTGATCTCAGACTGAATATCAGTTACACTCTCGGGACTCGGTTTGCTGGCTTGACTTTGCTGCAAAGAAAAGTAAGTGTGCAATTTAGTACTTTATTACTTTAAACTCGTGAAAATTTCGAGTTTAAAGTAATAAAAAATCTTAAAAAGACGATACAGAGTAAAGAAATAATACGTACTCTCTTTCTGTCCTTCGGCAACACTTCGTCCTTTCTCAACGGCCTCTTCTTTTTACGAATGTAATCAAATCCGGAACGGAATTTCCGTCGGCCGGGTCGAAGTTTCAGTTTCTTCTTGTTACGAATCTCCAAGTCGTTTCTGTCGTCGTCCTCATTGATTTCCTCCTCTCTGTCGTTCGTTTCTTCCTGCTCCATCCTGATGCGATGCAGTTTCTTGTTCGCGAGAGACTTGAGCAAATCCTTTCTCCTCTCGGAGCTCAGCAAACGGCGCTTCGAGTTCATGATCACCTTGCGGCTACGCAGTATGCTCGCGTTTCTCAGACGAGACACCACCTTCTTCAGCGTTCGTCTCTTGCTCAATGTGGTCTCCGGTGTCTCGTTCTGGGAATCGTCGTCCTGGGACGTGTCGTCGTGATTTTGTATCGGCGGAGCCGATGCCGGTCGGTCCTCGCCGAATACTTCGCGGATAGTAGCCTCCTTTTTCAAGATCTTCGATTCCGTTCTTGTTCTGCTCTTCAACAACATCGCGGAAATCTCGTTAGACGTGTGATTGTTTTTGAACGCGTCGCGGAAGTTGTTGAGTGTCTCTTTTCGGAAGTAACTATACAAAACGGAATCGTTTTTGCTCGAATTTTTGTTGTTTTTCAACTTGTTTTTCGAATTACTTTTCGACGTCTCGGACGACAAAACCGGGCTCGGTGTCGGCAAAAGTTCCGGCTCGTTACTGGTCTTGTTCACGATCTTACTGCCCTTCGAATTCTGTTTCTTCTTCGAATCCTTCTGATTGCTCCCGACCTTCTGCGCGAGAACGTCAACGATAGAGTTGTTCTCCGATCGGGAATGTTTCATCATAGCCTTCGGGGGGCAGGAAACGGTCGTCGACGAGGTCGCTTCCTCGTCGTCGATCTTACTGAGCCCAGCGATGCTGAAGCTGCAAATCGACTCCACATCGCTGTCCACTATCTGTCTCTTGTTGCGACCTAGACACACATCGGAACTGTCCATGGACACGGACAGTGCCGGCGAACCGGGATCCAAGTCCGGCAGCGACGTGGACAGTCGATGAAAGCGCGAAGGCTTCGACACTGTTATCAATCTGGTCGGCATCCTCAGAGACTTTTTGTACACGTAAACCTCTTCTTCCCAACCGGGTCGGAAATCGCTACCGTCACCGAACTTCAGTTTCGTTTTCTGGGAGGTACTGCTTTTCGGAGGTGACAATTTAGACTCTTTGTCTTTCTCTGTTTTCAGCTTGTGCGGAGTGGTGTCCCTCGAACGAAGCTTCATACCCTCAGATATGTTGACCGTGGATCGTTTCCTAGCGCGAAGTCTGTCGGCCACCGTGGAACCCTGGCCGAACTCGGTACTGGCGTCGCTGTCCTCGCTCGAGGACTCGCTGCCACTGGAAGACTCGAGCTTGATCCTGCTCCCGCGACGAATCCTCCTGCTCCGGCATATAATCTCGTCCTCGTCGTAATCGCTGTCTTCCTTCTTTACCTCCTGCTTCGTCCTCTTGATTAACGGCACTTCGTCCGAATCGTCGCTCGAGTGTTTGTCCTCGTCGTTCTTCAGCCCGGGTTCCGTCTTAACTTTGATATCCTTGATATCCTTGATATCATTGATATCCTTGATATCCTTGAAAGTTGAGTTTCTGTCTTCTTCCTTACTCGCCTCCGGAATCTCTTTCTTGATATCCTCGGGCTTGATCTCGGACTGCGACGCGTTCTTGTTCGAATCCTTGTCGCTCTCGTTAGAATCCTGGAGCTTCGATGACGAGGTGCCGCCGCCTGTCTTTTTTCTCCGTGCTCGTTTCTTCACGGCGTCGTTCACGCGCAATTGCTCCATAAAGTTATCACAGGTAGATTTCCAGGATAAATCGTTCTCCTGTTAACATAAATTAACAAAGAGTTGAGTAATAGGTTTAAGAGAAAAACAAATTAAAAACTACATTTATTATACAAATTAAAAATCTGTAAAAATGTTTAATTCTCGATCTTAGATTTTCACTCGGAATTACCTTCAGTTCTATCCTTACGAGATCCGTCGAAGACGCCATGTTCATGCACACGGCATCGTTTAGGGGAATCGGAGGTTGCACTTTCGACAGTTGCTTCCTGTCCCGCCTCATCTCCTCCAAGGTCTGCCGCTCGAGAACCGGCATTTCGCCCTCGGAGTCGCTCTCCCGAAAGTCGAACACCGACGTTTCGGAAGAACTTCTGCATCCGCTCACTCTTGCCGATACCGCAGATACGACCGTGGCGGCAGCTGGTACGGCCGCGACGGCTACAACTGGCATGTTGTCGTCGTCGTTTCTCGAGAATAATCTTCTACGGGGCGGCAAGTTGACCGTCTTCTCGCGCGTCAGTTTTGGCGGGCTGCCCGCGGACGAACCAGACTGCGGCGTCGACGTCGAGGCCGTGCTGTCAATTTCTGCGCGCGGTACAAAATTATTGTTTAATGTTTGTTTTACAATAACTGCCGATTAATAGCGTTGCAAACTAATCAATTACCTTTCGGCGTCGTGTCCTGGGAAGGCACGGGTGGTTTCGTTGTAAACTGACCGGTGCCAACCTGGACAAGACAAAAAAAAAAGCAAATCGTAAGATCGACGTAATCCAACGCAATAAAATTATAAAAGACCGATGTGACACGCACTTGTTTGAGTTCCGCCTTTGTTCTGATCTTCGCGGCCAGAATGGCGGCAAGGCCGTCGTCTTTGTCGCGATGTATCTGATTCTCCACAGCGCGAGGTCCTGAGAGTGAGGCCTCCTTGCCGGGCAACGTCGCCGACGCGTTCACTCGGGATGCGTACATGCTGCGCGGCGCCTCCTGAGTAATCGAGTCCACCGCCCGCGGGACGTGGAGCTTGTAATGCGGCGGCGTGTTGCTGTTGCGCTCCAGCAAACTCGCCGCTGTAAACGGCGACAGATTGTGTCTGCCGATATTTGTTTTAGGCTCAACTGGCGCAACGACCTGGAGAAATGTTTCCTCGTCATCAAGTGCCGAATAATTAAATGATTTAAACGTATTTAGAAAATCCCAAGTGGCTTAATATTTTTTAAATAAACAGTTGTTTTTTAATAAAAGAATTAATCTAATCGGAAATCAGTAATAAAATAAACAATCGCGAGTAATTATTATTTTCTAAGCTAATTGGTTATTGTATGAAAACTTTCTTACTTTATTCTGAAAACTCTGTTGGCTGTGATTGACCAAGATAGGCTGCTGGCTGTTGAGCTGCTCGTCTCTCTGTTTGTTCTCCAGACTGTTCCTCAATAAACTGAGCACTCTCTTGTCGGCTCCGGTATTATTGGGCTGATCCAGCGGCTGGCCGCCGGATATCCCGTTCGGAGGACACGTCTTCTGAATCGTTTGACGGTAATTCACGTAAGTCGACTGAACGCTGCTCAATTGTTGCGGCAACGAGTGTGCGTTTGTGGATTTCGGAATCACCGGATGGCCGTACGCCGACGGCGAGCTTCGCATAACCTTGGACTCCTGATAGGTCCTTTTATCACAGTAAGCTTGGTATCGGGACGATTCCTGCGTGGAATAACTTTCGGGATCGTAAGTGCCGGGCGCCGTTAAAGCGCCGTTCGGTAAAGGACCGGGCGGCAGATTCATTTCTTGCCGTTTATGCTGTTCGCTGAGCGCGACCGCGGTCGACAACTTCGGCTCGGCGATCTGTTTGTCGACACTCGACACTCGCCAGGACGCGTACCTGGACTGCTTCGGGGGACTCGCCGAGGAGCTGTAGATTGGCTCTCCGGTCCTTTTGAGCGGCACTCGCTCGTGCTGAAGAAACTCCTGGTCGTACTTGGCTCTGCCATCCTGGGTTAAGTAATACTTGTTCAAGTCGGTCGGGTTGTGCGAGCTGTGCGTCGGCAACGAGGACGAGCCGAATCGCGGCGTTCGATCCGCCATCAACTTGGACCCGAACTTCGGATACGCGGGATCGTTCGTTTGAAGATACGACGAAGACGCGGACAACGACGAAGGCGGTGGCGGCGGCGGCGCTATCGTCAGACCGTCGTACGGCGACGTGGGCAGTGGACGTTTCTTGAACGTGGACATGTGGGGCAGTGGTGTCGTATTGTTCGCGTGATGGGAAAGAGGCTGGGCGGGCGGGGCGTGCAGCTGTTGCGCGTTGCTCTTGCGAAGAGGGTTCTCGTGATGCTGGGACTGATGACGTAGCGGTGTCGAGTTGAAGTCCGGCAAAAAGTCCACTTTGGGCGCGCATACCGTCTGAGGCGTCGACGTCCGCACTCCGGATATTGAGTTCTTCGAGCTGTTCGAAGGCCTCGGATCGTACGACGACGGATACGACGGCTGTGTCGGCGCTTGATGCATGGCGGGTGGCGGTGGTTGCATCGGCCTGTTCGCGTTGCTCCTCGAAATGCCCAGATTCGAACTGCTGACGTGTTTGTCGGTGCTGGAGGCCTCGATGTCGTCCTGCGCCGTAGAATCGGCCGAAGTCTTCACAGTTTTCACCGAGAGATCCAGAGGAGACTCCCTTTTCCGAACCGCACTGCTGGGCGACGCGGACGTGGCCACGGCGGCAGCCGGGGTGGTTTGGCCGCCGCTAGACGACGTGGAGTTCTGATAAGAAGAATATTCCTTGTAGGCGTAACCTTCGGTTGTCATTCGGGTCGATTGATGGTGGTGGTGATGATAGGACGACGATCCCGACGCTGACCGATCCGACTCGTCGGAAGACTGGTACGCGTGAACCGTAGAAACGCAAGACCTCACTCCGGTGCCGCTGTGGCTGATAGAGGTCACCGTGGTATTGCTGGAATTACTGCTGTGGTGACTGGGCGCTATTGTGGTGGCATACGACGAGGTCGGGTATCCCGACTGTCCGCCGTATCGGGAGTACGTGATGTTCGCCGCGGTGGTGGTCCTGCCGTTCACCGGCAGTGCGTGATTCACGGCCGAGGTCGGGGTCACCGGATACTCGGCCAACCTCTGCGGCGGCATCGTCATTGACGAGGGCTTGCTGATCGCGTTCGAGTGCATACGCTGCCGTTGCGCCATCGACTGCGCCGCCTTCCCCAGAGGCTCCCGCCTGTTGGAATGATAGGACGACAGAGCGGCAATGGGTGGCAGGTTGTGCGTGTTGCCGTTCCTCTGCAACGACGATCGGCTCGTGTTGTAAGGTGTTGTCGCTGACGGCGCGACGTCCATTGCGCTCCTCTTCACGGCGTCCGCGCCGTTGTACGTCGAGTATTTGCCGCCACTGCCGCTTTGCTGATAGTTGGCTAAGCTATTGTTGCCGGGCGTGCCGGGAAACGCCGACTGCGGTGGCGCCAGCATTTGCTGCATACCGTACGACTGGCTGTGAGATCGGTTAGGCTGAGGGTAGTAACTGCTCGCCTGGGACATCGGTTGCGGGCTCTTTTGGAAGGAATGGTACGAAGACTGCGACGGCGGCCGCGGTGCGTAAGGATTGCCCTGTCCCGTGTAACCCGTCGCCGAGGTCTGATAGTGCTGCGAGGTAGCCGACGGTGGCAGGTTGTACGAGTGCGGCGTCGTTCTCGACGATGCTGACGGCGGCGGCGGAGGCGGATAGGTTGGCGAGTGTGGCTGGAAGCTGTTGTGCGGCGAGGGCGTATGATGCGGGGATGGTGACGCGTGCGGCGTGTGAAGATTCGACACGTGCGGCGAGTGTCGCTGCGGCGACGGGGTCGCGTGATGCGGCGACGGAGTAGTGTGATGCGGCGGTGGCGTCGTTCCCACGTGGTATCCGCTCGGAGGTGGCAGCAACATCTGCTGCTGCGAGTGATTCGTCGGGACCGAGGGTGAGGATGACGGAACACCGTGCGACGGCGGCGGCAAGACGCGACTTCCATACGAGGAACCGTGCGGCGACGCGTTTATGTGACTGAGATGTTGCTGTTGTTGCTGCTGCTGCTGCTGCTGCTGATGCATTGAAGATGCGACGGCGGACGGCAGATGCGACGAAGGAATGTGCCCCGGAAGATTTTGAGACTGCGAAGGAATGTGACTGGAGGAGGAATTGCCTGACGCGGCGGATTGACGTGAGCTGATAACCGATGATGAAGAAGAGGAGCAAGATGACGGAGTGGTGGAAGAATGCGGTCCGTCCGAATTGTGCGACTTGTCGTTGCCGCTCGATGCAACCGCCAGACGATGGGTTTGCTGCTGAGAACCCGCGGAGGACCGATAACTCTGGGAAGAGGAAGAGGAGGAGTTTGACAAAGCGGAGGATCCGTACATCGTGGATCCGCTCGGTAAATTTTGAGCAGGCGGCACGTTGCCATAAGTACCGGTCACTTGTTGCTGTTCCGGCGGACAGTGTCCTTGAGTCGCGTTGCTTTGCTCCATCGGCGTCGGTCTCGTGCTCGATTGCTGCACCGAGCTCGACGGCTGCGCCACATTGGCAGACTGGTAAATCGAACTCTGCGAGTAAGGCGTCGGCGCGCACTTGGTGATGTCCGGATGATGGTATCGCGGATAATACTGGGTCCTCTGCGGGATGATTGATTGCGATCGATCGTTGCTGTTGGCCGTTTGATAAGTCGACGTGGAATGCGACGAGGACGACGCGAGCATCTCCGCCGCGCTGAAGGACGTTCTGCTGACGTTATTGAGTTGCTGATACACCGGTCCGGGGGAATGTGATTGCTGAGGCGGTTGGATCTGGTGCATGTGTGACGTTGCGCTCGACTGGTACGATTGGTGATGAAGATGATTGTGATCGTTCGAGGACGAAGTAGCTGACGACAACGATGACGACGTTGACGACGTTGTCGACGTTGGCGGCGGTCTTTGCGAACTGTTCGACGACGAGGAGGCGATGGAGGATGACTGGTGATTAGAGGGTTGCATCTCGGTTAAAGTGACGGTGCCTGAGGAAGAGCTGGGTTCCATGGTGGAGCCTTCGTCGCCTGGCCTTGTGTCTGGAACTTCGACCCTGATCGGCTGCGGCGGATACGGTTCCACGTGCGGATTCCAGAAGCTAGAACTGGAAGCCGTGCTTTCCACCGACGACGACGGCTTGACGTCAGCGGGGTAACAATTCGACTCCTGAGCGATGACGCCGCCGCTGTCGCTATTGTTGTTACTGGTAGGAGTCGTGAACGGTTGCGTCGATGACTGATTCGGCTGCGACGTAGCTCCATGATCGTGCGTTGTTGCCGAGGACGTGGACGAGGCGGAACTCGTGGATGATGTCGCGTGGAGACTGTGATCGCCACTACCTGTATTCGGCACGGGCAGTCCCTGGAAGTACTGGCGAGCCCCCTCTAACACGTTCGTGAAGCTCACATCCATGTCACGCCGACTACTGATCTGCAATCACACATACACACGGTGAAGTGGAGGTGATTGTAGGTACGTCCTTGCATCAGCCTTGTCTGATAATTTATCGCACGCGCGCGATATATTATCTCTATATTATTATTATCATATATATGCGCGATAAACAAGAACACAACGATCAATCTCTTTTTCTCTCTTTCCCTCTTTCGATCTTTTATATGCTTTGTTATTGCCACTTGGAATAGCATTTACTTCCAATACGCGATTCCACCTCTTGAATTATTCAAGATAATGGATATGTACTTATTTTTGTTAGCAACTGAGATATTGATTAGTATCGTTGCTAATTATCATATTTTACTCTGTTATTCTTTTTCGCTTTTTCTTTTTACGTAACTTTATTTTTTGTTTGATATTAATGGTTGTTAATTGTTTGATTACTTACATAACTCTTTTATTATGCCTTCGCGCTTGATCTTGTCCCGGAGCGCATAATAAATTACGCTTTCGATCTTTTTCCCCTTTCTCTTCCTCGTTTTTGTCGTAAATTACATAAATAATATTTTTTATTTTCAAATAATATCAATATAAAAATTATTATATATAACTAGCAGATGTATGTGTAAATATATTTGTAGACCCGTAAATTACATATAGAAATTCGAAAAATCATCTAAGATCTTAATTTTTATCTCAAATATATAAATTGCTCATTTTATTTTATCTATAAAATAAAAAAAAACACATTGGCTCGCGTTAACCGCAAACTATCTGCTGGTAATCTTATCACGAGCTTAAATTTATTGTCGTCGTTATAAGTTTATTAATAGATTAATATACTATTAATAAACTAATAAATGTTAATTGTATTTGAGAGTCGTAAGTACAAGATCGCACATCTCGGAAATCGAAAAGACCGCTTTTCCCGGGAGATTATCGAAACGTTCGCACGGACGCTCGGTCGACCTGAAAAACGGTCAAGCCGAGAGAACGAGACACACAAAGCATTAATCTTCATTGTCTTGTATTTGTCTGTTACGAGAGGTAGACATATTCCTCTCCTTCGTTCTCGATCTCTCGACCGAGCAGCTCCGATCTCGCATTATTAATCTCGCGGCATCGCCGAAGATAAGATCGTCTTGCCGCACAACTCGCTGAGGAAGCAAATGTGATAAGAGGTCATCGGACTCTCTCTGGCAATAACCGCGGAATATCCGCTTTGTAATTCTGATGTCAAGTCGAATTTTATTTATCTATCATTTATCTATTATTTACACGCGTATAAGATAAATAGGGTAAGTGGATATTGATAAGCTTCGATCGCTAATTTTTGTCTGAGCAAAAAAAAAAATTCGCAACGAGGACAAAACATTTCCGAGATAGGAGCGAACGTAATTTTCTACGCGTTGTGGCGGGGAGGTCCGATTCAACACACATCTCGGATGGGTTGATGGGAAAAAGAACGAAATCTCGGAACTATTCATTTCCGCGCGTTCGTACAAATTCGAAGGAACTCGATGACGACGCGACTGGCGTGCAGCTTCTCGCATGGAAGGTCTCCATTATCGTATCGATCCTCCCCCGGAATTGTCCCGATATTTCAGCGCGCTTTTACCGATAACTACTTTTTGTTTAAGAGGGCGACTTTCGAGAAGGCAAAGTGTGTATGTGTGTGTGTGTGTGTATCGTGTTTAGTAATAGTTCCCAGAGGGAGTTTCGGTTTTATCATAATAGAGCCCCCGCGAAACTGCGCGCCGTTATTACCGCCACCCCGTCACCGCGGGGCAAATAGCCTCTTCAGCGATCGGCGAGGCGTCGAAGAACTCGTCATCCACCACTCCGTACCAACCGCTTGCAATATAGATCGTTATCGATCCAAGCTGGCCGAGAGAGAAAGAGAGAGAGAGAGAAGAGGAGAGAGTTAGATATCGGAAAGCTGTAAACGTATATAACACGAGACGCCGTACATACTGGTGGTGTACCGGGGACACATACTAGCATCACCACCGGGAAAAGTTCATGCACACCCACGCCCCAGAATAACTGGCGAGGGAAGAGAGAGACGGCGCGGCACGAGTAATATTCGCGAACACGGAGAGGATTTTAATAGCGCCCGGTAGTCACCCGGAGGTGACTTCGTGCCATTCGTAATATTTCGCTGGATCTCGATAAACAAAGAAAGGACCAGTGTTTGTTTGTTTTGTTTTTTCTTTTTTAGATTAAAAGAGACTTCGTCGCAATCCGACGTTATTCTCTTTTGCGTAATTTGCTCGCACGCGCGTGTAGCGAACATGTTTTGAAAAATTGAGGTATTTTCTGTGCAAAAGTTTGTTTGTTTGTTTTTTTTTTTATATTTTATCGCAGCTTTTCCCGACCGGGATATCTTGTTACAGTGTCACGACAATATCGATCAGATTATTATCTCCAACGGAACGGGGCCGGTGTACACCTTCTTGTGTGCCTCGTAGGAACATTGCAATGTTAAACGGCGCTCCAAAACCAACTCCAATTAATTATGGCCGTGACACGACCGAGTGACTCTCTCTCTCTCTCTCTCTTTCTGGAAAGTAGCCGGGACTTGCTTTAGCGCGCCGGAATTATGCCCATTGACTAGACTCTCTCGCAAACATAATGCGGAGCTTCCACGCTCTCCGGTGCGGAAACAGTAGGTGGAATCAATATCGCGCGCACCCTTGCCGAGCAACCTGAGGGGCTGCTGCTCGGTTTGGTTCCCTTCGTGCGCGCCAGTCAAAGGTTCTCCTTACCCCCCTTCCCATCTGTCCCATCCCGTCCCGTTCTCCATTACATTCTGTCCTGTTAGCGGGCACACGCTCGTACACGATCTCTCTCGTCGGTGTGTGTGTTGTGTATGTACGTGCGACACGCGGAAGTATGGAAGCGAAGACGCGGAGGTGTGCGTCTCTCTCTCTCTCTTTCTCTCTACGTGTGCGGGTTTAACTCGGAATTCTCACGATTTCAAGCATGGCGGGGGCCCACTCGATAAGGCTACACGCCGTGGGGTAATAAATATCCGGACTAAAGCAGTGGCCCGACGCGCGCGCGTTTCGGAGGTTCGGTCGGGGGTTGCTTCCGAGGGCGCATTTACGCTCGAGTCGCTTTAAAACGAAGAGGTCGCCTCCCTCCCCGGATAAGATCCGCGACAAATGGCTTCTCTCTCTCTCTTTCTCTCGCTTCTTTCGCTCGCTCTCGCACGGCGAAATTATGTGGCGCGCGCGGGTAAGCAGGTCTCTCTGTAAATACCGCGGCTGCTGGGGAAAGGCGGGTGATCGATCATTCGACGATATTCGCGAATCCCGAGATGTTACTCCGGGAATATCACCCGTGGCTGGCCTACTTCTCCGCACGACGAGCGTAAACTCGCGAATACCGTGTCGTATTGTCATAAAAAAAAAAGAGACAAGCGGAATCGTCTCGGGCGGATGACTAAAGAATGTTTTTACGAGCCCGAAATTTGTTTTGTTACGAGAGAGGAGCGATTAACGAGTAGAAAAAACGCGATTGTCACATTGCTGTTAACAAAAGCTTTCATTCTTCGAAAGAACAAATGTCAAACGCCAACTCGTTATCGCGCGGCGTGGTGTTCGGCACGTGTGACGGCTCGCCAAAGTGGACTAGCTCGCAAAGTGACTTTCGTTCTTCCGAAGGATGAAACTTGTCAACAAAATGCGACGTTATCTATGCGCGCGTCGCTTCGAGCGATTTATCAATCGCCGCACGTACGACGACGATCGACGACCTTATCCAAAGGAAGAAGACTTGCTCGCGAGTTCGTGAAACGACGCACCTGAGTCGAGCGGAACACGGCGCTTACAAAGGTCCGAAGTTTGCTGGCGGTTTGCAGACTGACCGTAGATTCGACGTTGAGATAATTCCCCGGCGCTCGATTAAAACCCGCGCGGCCGAGCAACAGAATGAGGAGAAAGCACGGAGATGAGAGGAGAGGAGAGGAAGAGAGAGGACGCCTTGAACCCGAGGTAAGCCGCGGCTTAAACGGCGGACCACGACGCCGCAAAAGCGTTTCCCCGTCTTGAACTTCCGCCAAGACTAACAAAATCGTTCGCAACATATATCGCGAACTTGCCTTACGATCGGCGCGTGTGTGTCTTTCACACGTTACGTCTGAGTAATTGCAAAAGAGCGCGTGATTATCGGCTGACACTTAATTTTTCCGCAAGACGTTCGCCGATTTCGGTCACAGCCGCGTTTCTCCCGCCCGCAAATCTTCTCTCTGCTCGGAAGAAAAAGAGCTGGCGGGAAAAAACAAACGGATTTATGACAGAACTAAATACTTGGAGCAAATATTTACACGCCCCTCTCGTCGAGGAAACCTCTCTCTCCTCTCTCTCTTTTCTGTCCGAGTCTCATCCCTTGACCTCGTTTTTCCCTCGGATTGTGCTTTCCGATTTCGCTGACCCGTTAAGCCGATTTAAAAACGTTCCGGCTTTAACCTCGTCGAGGGTTGCATCATATTTTATGCCTCACTCTCGTTTCCCCCGATCGACATCAAAAGCCAGACGAGATATCTTCTTATTTCCGGATCGCGAAAGGTAACGAGATTACCAACCCGGGCTCGTTTTTCAAACAAATTGACGTTTCTCCGTGAGATAATTTGCAACGTTTGTCATCACGAGTGTCATATCGCGGCGCTTAAAGAACCGTTCGAATTTTTAATCCACATTTTCCTTCGAGAAATATGCGCGCGGGATAAAAACTTCAGCCGGGAGAGATTTGTTTTTTTTTTCAATTCGTTAACATCCGTCTCGTGTGATCTCTTATTTTTTTTATCACGAGATGTGCGAGATAAAATAAAGCTCCGATTCCTCTTCGCGTAACGATTACGCACCGAGGCGTGGACGTGCGATATCGCGCGACCGAGTATAACGCGGTATTCGAGCGGCGGGACGTAACGAGGTCAGGGAAGCCAAAGGGAAACTACAAGACATAACCCGCGTAATTCACGGTGAAGCCGCAGACGTCACGATGGGAGGAAGGAAGGCCGGTCGGAGAGA